GCACGTACAAGTGTCTTATATTCTTCGGCCCTTACAACAACAGTGAAAAAAAAAAAACTCCTGCTTTCTCTCGAGGACTTTACCATCTCTTCAGAAGTCGCAAATTTAAAGTTCTTTCTTTGCACTGAAAGGAAAAGTGTATATCTCTTAAAAAAAAAATAAAAAAAAAAAATTACGACTCGAGCTGCTAGTACAAAAGGAATTGAGTGAAAATGAAGATTTTCTCGACGAAAATTACTTTCTTTTTATATGCAGTTCCTTCGCTCCCTCTATTTTCTTTCTCTTTTAGCCATTTTTGTTCTTTTTCCTCCCTTTTCTAAGCATGCTCGTTTCTCTTTCGAGTGTTGTTATATACTTTGGAGTCGTATTTTCTTCATAATTTGCCGTACGCGCTATTTTCTGAAGACCTGAGCTTTGTTTTGGTAATTGGGTTTTGTACAGATGCATAGAAGATGATGCATTCCTTGCTGGAAGAAGGGGATTTTTCATTTCTCTTTCTTCTTTTTTTTCATCCTCTCCACCCTTTTCAATGAGAATGTGAAGTGAATGTAAATAATTATTAGAAGAAGGGAGGGAAGGTGTACGTGTAAGGTGGCATTGAGTTGTTTCTTTTCTACTTTGTTATTTTATTTTTATTTGCTTTCTGCCGTTGAATATTATTTTGTAAGTATTGATCAGCACTAAGATATCTAAGACAGAAAGTTTTGCTGTAAATTTTACATGGGAAGCCTACTGAAATGCTCCCTTATCCTTACTTTAGTATCAATAAATAATTTTAATAACATTTCTTCTATAATACACTAATTCTATTTTATTTGGAAAGCAAGAGCAATAAGGATACAAGAATAAAAATGCTGAATTCAAAACAATCCTTCAAAGATTTATGGCAATAGGAGATGTCGATAAATTCATGCATGTGAATAACTGTCTGTATCTAAGATTTTCGTTATTGTAATGTAACACAATAGATGAAAGAAGTGAAAGCGTTGAGGTATATGAGGATGCAAATAAGAAACAAGTACTGAATGTATGTTCATAATCATAAAGTTTGTAACAAAGATAAGAAATCTGATATTACATTTCATAGTTTCATATTTCTTATTTCATAGTTTCATATTTCTCAGTTCCGACCTATTCTTTAATTGAGTGTTCGGTAAAACACTATGTTATTTTTTACCAAGACTTTAAGATTTTACCCTTAGAGCAATGAAGACAATATCACGAGATTTAAGGGTTTGGTTTGATTTAATTGATTATGACTAAAATTAGCTGCCTAAGGGGAGGGATACCTTCGTGGAGGCTTTCTAATGGAAACTGGCTCGTTTTATCACCAGTACTAGTAATAGTGTTTAGCGATTTTTCCCTATCGGCCACTCGAGATTTAAAGTGTTTAAAGAAATTGCGTTGCATTTTGTAACATACAATTTTAAAACTTTAGAGTGATTCTTAAAACTTAAAAATTGCGCTGCATTTTGTAATACACAATTTTTAAAGTTCTGGAGTAATTTGTAAACTTTAATTAACGATTGTTTTGATGAATTACGCAAAATAAACCGTAAAACGGAATGATTATTTGAATTTTACTAAAGAGCTGAAAGAAAGAAGTTTTCCTTTGAAGAAGATGTTTTCTTTTGAAGTATATTGAGGCAGTAGTTTCTATTTTAAGCCGGGTAACAACATGCTTAAAGAAACATCCATGAATGCATGACGTCATGACATGGATTTTAAATTATTATTATTATTATTATTATTATTACCATTATTATTATTAAGTAATATATTAACATTCATTTAACGCAAATCAAGATTGTGTTTGGTGATGATCTTGAAATTTGTCAAGGTATTCTCTTATAAATAATTAACATACGAATTATCTTCAGGATACAAAAGTCTGTTTATTTCGCTATTTGTATAACAGTAAATGGTAATTTCACATAATTGCTATGGTGAAAGAATAATCAAATTTTTTACGAAATTATCGGCTATCGTGATATAATGACGTCATGCATAAATCCATAAGGACGATACTGAACTATTCCTAGATTTCCGATTCCTTTTATTGTAGAATTGCTTGACAAATTTAATAATTTATGAACAGTTTAAAAACGCAATAATAAGTATGACCGCTATGATGAAAGGTTATTCGAATATGGCAAAAAAGACAAGAACTATATTCCTAAAGGGAGGGATGCCTTCGTGAGGATTTCCCAAGGGAAACTGGATCGTGTTCATGTTATACACGAGGAAAACTAATCAAGCAGCCATCTCGTTGGCTTAGATCGAACTCTGGTCGACCTACCAATATTCAACCCGCTTTGATGAAAGATAAGTTTTTCTTTCTTCTCATACTCAGACTAAGCGGAAGTACAGGCAGAATAGTAAATTAACATTCCTATGAGCGCTAAACATTTAGTACAGGTTTCAAAATTAAATACCTTAAATACTTTATCATAAATATACAATATGATTTTGTGTAGAGTTTCTCTGTGCTTTATGGCAAAGCGCAATAAAATTATCTGTTTAAGGGGAGGGATGTGTTCGGATTCTTAGCGAAACTGATTAATATTCAGACACTGACGGGAAATGAAATCGCAGCATTAAGAATAAATCAATTTAGAAGGATGAAATGTAGGCGCAGCATTTGTCTAAGTAGCATATTTATTTGATTAATGTTTCAAGGTAGCAGGTTAAAGTATATGAGAGAAGATCCATTCTAAGCATGAAATAATGGTACAATAATAACAGCTGTAGTTGCCACAGTGTTCAATGCAAACATGCAGACGGGCAGACATTGTGTCGTACGTTGCGTTATACATCATTTGGTGCGATGGAGTTCCATGCCTGTTGCCCTTGATTGGTCAAATCAGCATCTGTTCAGCTGTGGACGATGTTGGATTTGTCCAATCATAGCCCATATGTGTTCGATTGGAGAAAGATCGGTTCATCTTGGAGGCCAAGGCAAAATGTCGACACTCTGTAGAGTACATTGGGTGATAGCAGAGGTATGGGAACGAAAGTTACCCTACTGGAAAATGCACTCTGAACACTGATCAAGAATGGCAGCATAACCAGCGCAGTCACCAATTTGATGTACAAATTTGTCACCGTGTGTAGTATGACAACGAGAGTTCTCTAGCTATCCCAAATCATAAATCTTGATGTGCGTCCAATGAGTCTGCGCGGCAGACGGCTCCCAAATACTCCCCTGGCCTTCTTCTAACGAACACACAGCGACTCTGGCACCAGGACGGAAACTGCTATCATCTGAGAACACAATAGGTCTCCACTCACCCCTTCAGTGAACTGTAGACACAGCCGAAGTGGCAGATCGCGGTGATTTGGAGTTAGAGGTATGGCGGCTACAGCGCATCTGGCTCGAAACTGCCTCTCAAGTGATTAATTTGTTACAGTTCGCTGGTATGTTCTAAATGTCATAAGTGTTATGTGTTTCAGGTTATTCAATGTTGTTAGGTGTATTATGTCTCATATTGTTACGCCAACTCTTTTTTTTTTTTTTTTTTAATTTTCTGTAACCACTGTAATCCTAAAACTTTCAAATGTCATACACATCACTCGTAATGTAGACTATGTCAACCGCCCTTGTATGGCCATGTAACTTTCTCATTAAGATCCAAATAAACTCCCGAGGTAGCCTCATGAGGCTCCAGGGAGTTGTTGCCACTAGATAGTGGAGGACGCGGGGCATATGCCTGTTTACCTATGTTAAACATCAGGCGGCCTCGTCCTCCGTCACCTGTCACCTGTCACTTGAGTGCCAACAAAAACTCGAATGTCTGCTGCAGATGGAGTGCGATGTGCCAAAGACATGTGGCGAATACTGCGGTCTTCCTTGTAAATGATGGCACATCGGCCAGCTCCGGCTTTCCTGAGACAGTACATACCCTTGACCACTGCTGCCAACATGCATGCATAATGAATACATCTCTGCCAAGTCTCTCTTCAGTAACGCGAGGCGGAAATCCACCTTTTTCTAGCCCTATTACAAGGCCTCGTTCAAATTCAGTAAGCTGCTGATACTGCCTTCTCTGTCTCCTAAAAGGCATTCTTGATTCAAATCTCGTTTAAAACATCCAATGCGGAAGATAAATAAAGCATACGAAGCTTACACTGCAAAACAAAAGTGATTTCCATATTCATAGTGGCGCTCCTGGTGCCGCACTTAAACATCTAGAGTGAAATTTGAATCTTTCAGATGTGAAAGCTCGTCTTCCAGGTTACGTTTATCTAGCACAACTCTTTTCCGTTGCTGGGATTTCACCTTCCACCAGTATATTAAGCATGAATTAAACCAAGAAAATATTTACAGTCAGTCTTTTTTCCGAAGTAAACTTAGACTGTACTACCAGTGTTCATAGGAGTTATCCATTGGGCCCACCAACAAATCAAAACCTTTCTGAATAACATAAAATTATTCTTTTTTAGAGTCTGAATGACATCAAAGTTTTTCTGAATAGCGTTTCAATATCCCTCCTCAAAGAGAAAAAGAAAAAAAAAATGCTTTTAACAATAATTTAAAAAATAAAAAACAATTAAATAATTACTCGCAGACTAGTTAAACGAAAATAATCATAGGAAGAAGGAATGGAACTCTGAGTTATTCAACGTCTTGTATCAAATACTTTTTCTTTCATATGCCAGATATTTGCCCATTTTGACATGCTCTGATAAAATTATTTATCACTTCGCTATTTCATCACTAGAAGCAATTGCTTAGGAAACACCACAGAGAATAGACATGTAATTAATTCTTAAAAAGGGCAGAAAGGCATCATAGATGTTCATATCCAAGACGTCCCTGGCCATTTGAATCTGAGGCCACTGGCATGACAACCAGCTTTCATTAAAAGACCATATCGATCAGGGAAGCTCTTAAAATAAAGAAATGGAAGAAGCAACAGCTCATGTGCAGGATGAAAATGTGTGAAAGTTGCAACAGTGCGTCTGTGAGTATAATAACTTTTCAAGGTAACGTAACTTACCACCGTCGTCTCTTTTTCTTTTATGTGTCCCCGTGTGGTCTTGTGTGTGTTGCTGCTGCGAGCCGGTGCCGGAGGGATTAGGAATGCCTAGAATGCCGTTGATAGAGTAGGAAGGACGCTGAAGCTGAGGTTGGCCTTCGTGGGCAGGGGGCGCATGGGCTATGACGGAGGTGGCGTTTGAGGTGGGCTGCGGACTGTGGCCACCGTTCATGTGACCAGAAGAAGCACCCACTTGCTTCGCCTTCTCGGCTGCTTTGTTCCTGACAATCCTATAAAGAGAAATTTAATGTTACAAAAATTTTATAAATACTAAAGAGAAATTAAACTAGTATGATGTAATAAGGATAACAAATATTTCCAGAAAGTGTAATAAGCTGTTATCATTTAAACAGATGCGCAATGAATTGGGCCCTGGTCATTAATATGACATAAACAAAATGCAGTACTTAAAAATTGGTGCAGAATTATTTAATGTATGAAAGAAAATTTAAAAAATGAAATGCGTCTGGGCTTGTTTCAGAAATAAAGAAACACTTAAGCTATAGTTTATATATATATTATATTTTTATATATATATATATATATATATATCATACATATAATTTGTATATTTCATCAGAATCATCATCTGCTGAAATTTTACAGATTATTTTAATTCCAAAAAATGGGTTTAATGCGCAAAGGAAATTATGGGAAACAAGTGCTACAAAACGTGCACAAATGTTTCGTGTTATCTATTATTTTTAATTAATTTATCTATTTCTTACTTTTAGTTGCTACTGTTAGTTACTGGCGTTATATTTAAATATGAAACATTTTCATAAACTGTTAAATGGTCTTAGTTAATTAACTTTGGTCTAGGTCTTATACCATAGTTATATTCTACATGCCGGACATAGGCACAATATGACTCAGGTATTATATATGTTTGCACATCTGTATCTATATAGGTACGAACATGTATCTACACATGTGTGATATAGATTTATGTTATAAGTTGTATATAGTTATATACAGTTGTATAGATTTATATTATAGATACAATAAATTTTAAAATTTATTGGAGATCTAAAAATTATTTAAAATTAATTAAAAATTTATTGGAGATTAAAATTTATTGGATTTCTCCGAGAAAGAGTCCAAATTCCGGGAAAAAGAGAATTTAAATATCAGTTATCCAAATTCCTTTTTTCTTGGTCAAGTAAATTAAACTTACTGTTAATTTATTCACGTTATATTAATTTTTCATTCATTTAACTTAACTTTTCGTTAAACCATAAAGTTATTCCAAACAACAAGTTGAAAATTTAATAATATATATTATTTAGGCAGTTTTATTATTTTGCCATTTCTAGTTTGATTTAATTTCATTTCTCTTAAATAGAATTTATTTATTAGTCCATTGGGGCAATTTGCCAGGAAGGGCTATTAATTTCGTTTTGGCATTTTGCGTCGATTCACTATAAGCGTTGTTTCACTTTTCAAATTGTTGACACAAAAATTATCGAAATGTATTATATTTAAAGAAATTAAATAATGAAGAATCTGTATAAATGTATGTATGTTTCTCGCATTGTGATAAAGCAACGGTACCTAGAGCCGTCCAATTTTGAATAACGTAATCCTCCTGTAAATATGGGCATCTGGAAGTCCAAATTTGAAATTTGGAATTTGTTTTGTTATCGATTTCACATTTTGTACAACTTTAACGAATATTTGATTAACAAACTCAAGGATTTCAAAGCGAGCAATGATAACATTTTGCAGAAAAAGCATTTTTATCTCCAGCGCGCGAGACTGTGTATCGGAAATTCTAAAGATAGGCTCATTTTAAAAATATTTCGCGATATTGCTCTTGAACTGAATTTATATATATATATATATGTAAACGAGAATAAAAATCTTTAGTAATTTATAAAAGCCACTTTATTTTTTTATTTTTGCAATAAATAGCTTTTCACTCAGGGAAAAGCTTTACTGTAATTTTAAAAATTGAGCCTTGTTTATTTATTTATTTATTGCATTTTGTTTCACTCGTATAAGAAATAATTTTTTATTTAATTTTTGTTAAATGGAAATAAAAACAAAATAGTCTTGCCTTATAGTTTTAGGCAAATGATAATTAATATCCTCGTTTCATTTTAATTGTAGCATTAATATATTTTATCATTTAATCCAAAAATATGACGTCTTCCATAAAATTTATCAAAAATTCCTCCAAATTACAAATGCTATTTTGAAAAAATAATGAATTTTTACTCAAAATATGTAAAATAAAGTTAATGAGATGATGTTAATTTTGTTTTACATATTTTGTTTTACATATTTATACACCATAACAAATTTGTATTCTCTGTCTTGCTGAGACTAAAAATCAATAAAATTTACCTGACAAGAGAAATTATATTCAGAAAAAATCATAGGTTTTACAACAATGTCTTTTTAAAAATATTTTCATTTTTTTCTGGCAAGAGTCACAGAGGTGAATGTTCAATTCCATATCATTCTGTACAACGTTTTTGTATTCAGGTTAAAGTTGTTTCAACATTCTGTCACGTCCTTCGTGTCCAATAACCAAATGAGTTTCATGAATTACGTGAACTATCTCACCGTGCACAGTACAACGTAATAATGCACAGTACATACTTTCCAAAACCATCATATCATAGCGATTCAGCAACCAATAGTTCCGTGATTCCTTCTTAGTAGTCATTTTGGCTTTTTATTAACCTCTTTTAAGTAGTTTCGGTTATTCGAAAAGAATAGAAGATGTATTTCATGCTTTGCCGGTTTGTTATTCGGCATTTTGTAGAATGTGTAGACAATGTGTGAATGTTAATCATTTCTTACACTGCCGGTCGTTTTTTGGTATTCTATAGTATACCGTATTTCTACTTCCACTGATAACATTTATATTAACTTAGTAATCAACTTAGTAATTTATATTAACTTAGTAACGTAGTAATTTTTCTTCCTTTTTGTACTAATTTTTGTAACAATAAATTTGTTTAATATATGACACTTTCTAACTTAAATTATGTTTCTTTTACATTTAACTTACGTGATGATAGAAAGTAGAAGTCAAGGATACTTGTGGGGTAAAAGAAAAAAGTGCTTTCCCACGCACCCTTAAAACGGCTATAAAATGTGACGTCATCGAATGATCAGGAAGTGACATTCCCCTTCACTTAATGGACAAGTGGATAACAATGAGCAATGATGACATTATTCTGCACTCCACAAAACTCCCCCCCCAAGTTCCCCATATTCTATATTAGTGACAATACTGGAAGTGCGCCTGAGGGGTTCAGTCTCCCGCTCACGGGGAATGCGTTTTCAATGGCTAATATTGTTCAAGGGTCAGATATATTCTTAAACTTTTTTTACATTGCAGCATTTAGTCGCATTTCCATACTACTACTTTAACGAACCTGATGCTTTCATAAACTGCAGATATTTGCAACAGCAGAACCAAAAATTTTTGAAAAAATGAATAAATGAAATATGTATTTACTAATTTTCATATTTCATATATTTGTGTATGTGGAGCATATTAGAACATAAAATTTTCATGAAATAATTAAAAATTAAGCCATTAAAATAAAATTCTGCATCCTTACTTCATTTATCAAAGCAATCTAGAGATAATTATTATTATAAAAATCCTCTTCTATATACATTTTATGCTTTCATCGACATGTATTAAAACTGATTTAAAATATGTCAGATGATATAATAATAACTACTAGAGTGATATTTAAATATAAATGGGTTCTAATGAAGCTGTTAACAATTAAACTGTAACTTAAAATTTAGGTATACTGGAAAGTTCTATTCGATAATATTATTTCAAATTTCAGTACTCATGTTCAAGTAAGACATATATCGCTGTCTCTCTTTATTATTGCATTTATGTCTTCTTCTACATTATCTCAAATCATTATTAACTGAGATGTGATCGTGTAAACAAAGCTACCGATAAATTCATTTACGGCACTGTATTTTGTACGAATGCCAACAAGAAAGAAATACTACAGAATAATGTTAAAATTAAAAAAGTTTTCTTTGGAAATGCAGTTTCCGTTAGAATATACGGAATATGATTCGAAAAATTTGAAGTAGGTGATTTCAACCTTAACTATAAGCCAAGCTCTAGACAGCCATTTTTAATTGATGATGATATTTTCAAGATCGTGTTAGAAAAAGATTCTTTTTTGGCAATATCTGAGATTGCGGAAAAGTTTAACTCAGCTCAACAAACTATTTCGGATTATATTCACAAACTAGGATTGGTTTATAAATATTCCAAATGTCTGCTTAGTGAGTTAATGGAGAAAAATTGCAGGATCGATATGCACATCTCTGCTTGCTACGAATTGCCTACGAAAATATCATTAGGAAAAGAGATACTGTGAGCCTGAACAATCTGCCATCTCTACCTCTAAATTAAGCATGAGCCTGAATAAGAGAATGGTGTATATACGACAAGCTTTTGAAACCTAACGGAAAGCTCAATGCGAAAGGATACGCTTAGCAAATGGGTGATTTAAACAAAACAGTCAAAGGATAGAGGCTGCAGGTATTCATTAGAAAGTTGCATCGTGATAATGACAAACCACAAGCTGCTTTCGTTACTCGCCAGAAAATCGTAAACCTAGGCTGAGAAATTCAGCCGCATCCACCATACTCCCCTGAAGTAGCATTCTTCGATATCCTTATTTCTGTCCTTGAAAAATTTTTTGAAGGGGAAATAATCAAAACTGATGCATTTGTCAGCCGAACGCTACTTGAGTTCTCCGCCTCTAAGGAAAAGATGTTTTTCAAAAATGTTATTTACACAACATTGGCCAATGAATTAGAAACCTTTGAGATTTTTATTTGAATGCGTGCTAGGGATGAATGAAATTTTTTTTATGACATGGATTACACGGGGGTTACAATCCTATTATAAGTAAGATGTAAGAGCGTTTTTCATGATGAATGAAGTAAAATGGGAAAAATGGCAGATCTTTCACCATTTGAAAAAGGGCTTATTGTTGGTGCTCGTTTAGCAAGGGCTTCGATTTCGAAGACAGCAAATCTCACTTGGTTCTCAAAAGCAACCATATCAAAGATTTTCAAAAGTTGGAATCAGAACTCAAAGTCCTTCTCTAGAAGACGTAACTGCGGTTCTATCACAGTTTTTCAGGAGATTGATCGGCGTATTGTAGAACAGGGACTCTACTGTGCTGTAACTGACAGAGATCGCCAGCCTAAGCTTTTCTCAGCA